TATTTTCATTTGTACAAGCTAATTGTTTTTTAACGCAAGTCATCTTAAGGTGGCTTTAATTGTATAAGTCAAGCACATGTAATAAATTTAAAACCTGTAGTTAACAGGATATCAGACATCAATCCTGGTAACCAAATATTAAAGATTCTCTTTAAAAAGGACTGAACATGTTTACAGGTTTGAATTAGGCTAAAAGGTCTTGCAGTGGCTTTTCATGCCCCTTCAAATTGGAACGGAACTACTGTACTTTGCCATTTTTCTATAAATCAGTATTTTTTTTTAATTTTGATATACATTGTGTGAAAAAGAAAATGGCTAATAAACTGTATTAAATCTTAAACAATGTATAGATTGTACTTAGCCAGTTCAAAGTGTATATTTATTCATAATGAATTATAACAGTTATATTTTTGTGTTTTCTTGTAAATGTTTCTTTTTCCCTTAAATACAGATAATTCATTTGTATTGCTTATTTTATTATGAGCTACAACAAAAGGATTTCAGGAACAAACTTATTAGTATGGTTCAAGGTTGTTTGTATGAACTGTCTCAGAAAGATGGTTGTTATTTTAAGTATAAATAGCTAATTGGGGTGGTAGGTCTATAAAATTACATGCCTTGTATAAAATCCAAAAGGAACACAAAATTGTTTTTACTTGTATTGACTTTATGTTATGATTCCAATCTCTGTTCTGTTTGGCACTTGTATTTAATTCTTCACCTTTGTAAGACATTTGTATATTGCGGATGTGTTCATTGAAGCTATTTAATATCTGGCACTGTTAATACACAGTACTTTACTGTACAGACTGTTTTACTGTTTTAATTGTAGTTCTATGTACTTTTTTTGAATGGGGCTGGCATGTTTTATTTGTTTTCTGGCAATAGGACATGTGAGAATTTTGAAGCGTTTTGTTGTAGATGCTAACGTCAGAAACCTTAATCCTTTACATTCAACTTTTCTAAGAAAAGCATTTTCAGTCTTGTAGTGTGTGCTTACAGTAACTAATTTTGTTGAAAATGGTTTCAAGTTACTCAAATTTGTACAGGATTGTAAAGATTTGTTGACAGCAAAATGTTGAAGAAGCTTATAGAATAAAAACTATAAAGTATATATTAGGATCTGCAAACAATGAAGAATTATGTAATATATTGTACAAATGTAAGCAAAGGCTCTGAAATAAATGCCATAGTTTGTGAATCCTTGAGTTTGTTTCTAAAGGATTAAATAATTTTAGTTCATTTTTCCATGTAATGACTAGAACATGTAGCCAATATAAATAATCACAAGGGGTTAACTGACATCAGAAAAAGGGGAAATTCTACCATTTAAAAAGGAAAAGTCCATTAACCAGGTCTGGGAGTATAGCTCAGTGGTAAAGCACACACTATGCACAAGACCCTGGGTTCAATCTCTAGCAGCAAGAGGGAAAAAGAAAGATTCATTAACTAATTAAAGGGTGTTTTTTTTTTTTGGTACCAGAGATGGAAGTTGGGTCTTCCCACTTGAAAGGCAGGCAGCAGCACCATTGAGCTAAAATACCTGGCCCATTAAAGGGTTTTTTAAGGCCTTCTTGTATCTTTACTATACTATTCTGTTTGAATCTGAATGTAAATATTTTTCTTATGATCTGAAAATTTGTCCCCCCCCAAAAAGAAAGATCAAATAAAAAGCTGATGCAGGAAGATCACACGTTTAAGTGACTGGACAGTTTAGTGACTTAGCGAGACTTGTGTCTTAAAAAAATAAATAGGGCCAGGGATTCAGCCACCTGCCTCACAAGTGCAAGGTCCCGAGTTCAATTCTTGGTAAGAAAACCAAAACAAATAAACTATTGCGTCCTAAGTGCTGCCAAATTTTTTTCCCCCTGGAACATTGGAATACATAACCAGCAGCTATTTTTTTAAAATTTAAATTGGCCCTATGTGGGTCTCTTACACATGACTCTGCCCTACTCCTATTACATGGTGGAATCAGCTGGGCATGGTAACAATAGTTCTTCACTGCCACCACTCCCTTCATTTAGCCCCCCCTCCCCGTATATAATTGGTCTGTGGTGGTACTTGGGTGGTAGTGATCTTTTTAAAATTTCTCCATTGATTTTAGTATGTATCTGGGTTGCCAACCACCAATTTGAACCAAACCTTTGAAAATCAAAGATCTAGTTTTTGGTTCATTTAATGAATTTTCTCGGAAAAGAAATTCCTTTTTTTTTAAACAGTAAAAAAATAGCCAGGTGTGGTGGTGCATACCTGTAATCCAGCACTTGGAGGCTAAGGGAGGAGGATTGCCATGAGTTGGAAGACAGCCTGGGCTACATAGTGAGTTCAAGGCCAGCCTGGACTACACACCTGTCTCAAAAAGCCACAACAACCAAAGAAAAAAGAAACTACCACCAGGCATGGTTGACAGATGCTTCTAATCCCAATTGCATGGGATTCTGAGGCCCGAGGATTGAAAGTTAGAGATCACCCTGGCAACAATAGCAAGACCCCGTTTCAAAAGAGAAAAGAAAAATCACAGATTCCTCTTTCTAGAGCATCTTTAGGATGGCCCTTTATTTTAATGGATACTCGTTTAACATTTTAATTTTTTAAAAATGCTTTGTGTGTTTATTGAGCCAGGATGTTACAATGTACTTCATGCTGGTCTTGAACTCACTATGTAGCCCTGGCTGACCTTGAAAACTCTGTTTCTGCCCTTGAACTCTGCAGTCCTTCTGCCTTGCCTTCCAAGTGCTGGGATTACAGGCATGTGCCACCACAATAGGCAATTTAACTTTTTTTTTTCTTGTACCTGCGATTAAACTTCAGAGCTTATGTTTGCCAGGCAGGTGCTGTGCCACTGAGCTACATCCCTGGACCCCAACAATTTAACTTTTAAAGGATAAATTTTAAGTCTTCAGAAAAGTGCTTTCCCCCAAAATTTCCTGGAATACTCCCTGGAAATGCTCTGGAAGTGTATTGTCAAGTATACTTTTGAAATTATATAGCATGTTACCTTCTTAGAATAGTTATTACAAAGTTTGAGGTTTGTGAAGGGACATTTGGCTAGTTTCCTGTACTCTGTTGTCAATCTTCATCACAAAATTCTAGTGCCGTGTACTTAGTGTGTTATAAAAATGCTATGTAGGGGAATGGTTCCAGATTTTCTTGGAGTTATAGTCCTTGTTGCCCTTCTCATCTTCTCTAGAGGAAAGTTTGAGAATTATATCATCAGAATTTGACCTAATCTACCTTTGGTCACCCAAAGTGCATTTTGTTTAGTTTACCTTGTATGCTAAAACTAAGATGCTATATTTTTCCCCAAAACTTGCATTCCTACTGAAATAACCTTGGTCTATTAATTTTGTTAACTTTGAAGTTACAATACAGTAGAAGCAGAATCCAGGAAACCCGTTTTTATTAGATTTTTTTCTGTGAAGAATCCTAGTATTTTAGGTAACCCTCAAAGGGGTTAGTGATTGCTTAATGGCCTTAAAAAGAGTTTTGTTTTTTTGTTGTTTGTTTGTTTGTTTTGAGACAGGGTCTTACTATGTCGTTGAGACTGACCTGGAACTCACTATGTGGCCCAGGCTGGTCTGGAACTCACAGCAATACTCCTGCGTCAGCCTCCCCAGTGCTGGGATTACAGGCATGCAACACCACGCCTGGCTTTTTTTTTTTTTTTTTTTTCAATTTTTTTGTTTTTGTTTTTGTTTAAAAAAAATTTTGAATGGCAGTGATGATAATCTTAAAAGTATTTCTAATCACAGCCTCATTAGTGCTAATTTTTCTGCAGTTTGTGCTTTCATTCCTTGTGGGTCTTATTTATTTTATCTTACAGTCTTAACCTGCTGTATTGGGATAAGACTAGCAAGATACGCACATACATACATATATATATTCATATTTATATATTTTCATTCAACTTAAAATTAAGTGCAAGTTTAAGCATTAAATTCCATGTTCGTGGAGACCACTGCCTAAGAGTTTAAAGAGGATAGTAAATAGGCACATAGGATTTCTGCTGACTAATGGTGACTTAAAGAAGTCCTCGAGTCGAGGTATAAGGGACATTTACACAGGCTAGAATGGAGGGTGCAAGTCCAGAAGGCCAGATAGGGCAGGGTTGCAATATTCCAGGTAGAAGGCAATTTTTGGAATATTTGGGGGAAAGAATGGGATTAGAGAACAATTAAAGGAGACCACGAGAGGGTTTTTTTTCCACTGGACAGATATTTAAATTGCATTGCCGGTGTCTACGGGTAGTTTTTTCCACCTTTGCAATATCAGGCCATCAACAGGTCACCAAAATTAGAAACTCAGTAATCAAAATCAGGGACAAGTAGTTAACAGTGTTTGGGGTCTTTTTAATAAAGTTGACAGCGCAACAAAAAGCTCACTTATATTCCCAATGAACTTGTAAGCAATTTTCAAAAACAAGTGTTTCCAACAGATTCAAAATCAGATCCCCAAACTACTGAATTTAGTACTTATTTCCTAAAAATCAATTTAGCATATACTGAATAGGTACAGTGAACAAAGATACAGCATATGTGTAAAACATCTATCTTTAGCTTCATTGCCTTCACATTAAAAGAGACTAACATGCAAAACGTGATAATGGTTAAGTATGATGGAGGAATGGGGGAAGATTTATATATCCCTATTGCAAATAAACTGATCGTTGACAGTATCTGAGGTGGTCCTTGAAGGCTGTAGTGAAGTACGGGCTGACAAGAACGAGCAGAGAGAAAATGCAGCTAGGATCCACGTGTTTGCAGGGAGAAGAGTCTGTGAAGGCAGGCAGAACAACCCTACGATTTTGAGAGCCAAGCATCCATTTTTGGTGGAACAGCTAGTCAGCAATAAAATCTTAAAGTAGTACACAGAAAGCAGAGCTGCGGTCTCCAACTACTTGTTTGCAACGTATTTTGAAACGATGTCAAACTTGCAGAAAAGCTAAGTACAACATGCTGATCCTGACTAGTTACACTCTAGTACCTTCATTTCTCAGCAGCCTTCCCTCAACGACCCCGGAGTTTCTTTCCTACATGCTCTTCCCTTCGCTGACGTCTCACACCCAGTCTGGTTGGTTCTTACTTAAAAGCTTCAACTACACTGGGAAAGTCTCCATTACTCCGAGATTAGGCTTCTCTGACACGAGGAGAGCTAAGGGGTAGGAACAAAGCCACAGGAACCTACTTTCCTGCGCAGCCGCTGTCTGCTGGATGGGAAGGACCGTGATCCTTCGCAGAAGAGGCGTGGCCAGACAGCGGAAGTAGCTGGTACCCGGAAGTACTTTCCCCGTGCTTTAGCAGGCGTGGAAAGCTTGGAGTATGGCTTTGGAAGGGGAGAACAAGCGGAAGAAAAAGAGAACTGTGGAGCACAGGTGAGAGCGTGCGGCGCGTGTTGTTGGGTTAGCGTGTTGTGCGTTCGCTGGGCCGGGAAGCGGTGTGCTGTGGCACGCTGACAGTCAGCCCTTCGTTCCTAGGGAGGACCCGGGTGCCGGCGGGGAAGTGGCCGGAGACTACCTGATTGGACAGGTAGCCAAGAGTTTACTTGGCGGGCGGCGCCCTCCCAGTGGTAGCTCGGGGCGGCTGGCCTCCCTCTTCAGTGCTGCCGCGCCACAAGTTCGACCGGTCTACGTGCCTGTGTCTCAGGTAGGTCAGTAGTTTTGTGATGAATGGTTCTTTGGGTGAAGCGTAGTTTCTATGGGGGACCGATGGGGACTAATTTTAAGCACTCTTTTCCTACTCCGTAAGTGAAGAGAGGTGCTACTTTTGAAAGATGAGGCTCGAATTTTAGAAGGTGAGATCTTAAACATAACTTCAAACTTTTAAAAGGAAACTTCTAGAAAAAGGAAATGTGATAACGAGGAAGAAAGTACATCACTGAATCAAAAGCCATTTTTGCAAGAGCGTGCAAAAAAAGTGAAGAAGGAACTTTCTGATGCAGACAAGAAGTTGGCAAGCAGGTGGGTAAAATTCTTAGTTGCTATTATGTAAGATGGGAAGAAATTAAAATTGTATATCTGCAATATTAATTTCTCATTTTTACTTTTTTTTTTGTTTTGTTTTTTTGTACTGCCGATCGAACTTGGGACCTTGTGCTTGCTAGGCCCAATTTCTCATTTTTATTCGATTACTTTTTTCAAAATTTTTATAGAAAATTTCATAATATACAGTATTGAAAAGGATAAGGAATCTTACTCATCTCCATTAGCAATTATTATTAGGCCAATTTTGTTTCATTTTTATCTCATGTTCTCATCACTTGGAAACAAGCCTGTGATTTTAAATTTTTTTTACAGTGCATTTTAATCAATCCAACCAACAGTGTTGTCATGTTTCTTGTTACTATTCCTCATTCTTTACCACTATCTTCTTTTTCTCCTTTTTACAGTCGACCTTTTTATCTATTCTGAGAGTTGTATGCTGCTTCCCCTCAAACTTAAAATGTCTATGCAGTTTTAATTTCTTTTTCTTTTTTTTAGATAAAGATTAACCGAGCCAACTATAGTGTCAGCCTCCCTAGAGAGTGTAGATCTCTAGATCAATTCATTTTCTTTGCTTTCCTATTATCTTTGATCTTTCCAACATAAAATATGTTCAAAATTCTCATCTGAAAGCTGGACTAAGGCAGGAGGATCAAAAATTTGAGTTTTGATCCGAGCCTGAACAACTGAATGCCTTAGCAAGAAAAAAATGGTTAAGCTAAGCAAAGGCCCTGGGTTCAATCTAGTGCTGCAAAAGGTTTTTCAAAAGGCTTTCATCTTTATAAAAAAAATAAAAAACTAACAACCAAAAAACTACCGTTCAACCTTCATAGTTGAACTTTGAGAAAAATTCATCTGTAACATGGGCTGTTTTGCATGCCTATAATCCCAGTACTGGGGAGACTGAGGCAGGAAGGTCATGCTGTGGGCCAGCCTTGGCAATGTAAAAAAAAAGAAGAAAAATGGTCTGTTCTTTTGCTTTCTCCACTTTTTTGTGATTTACTTACAGTTCCATACACTTGCAGTCTAGTGTCAGGAGTGGTGGTGGTGAGCCTGTCCTGATCATACATCTGAAACTACTCATGGAGGCCTTTCTTACCTAGTTACTGCATTTATTTATTTATTTACACATGTGTGGCTTATTTATTTCACTTACGAGTATATCCTCAATATGTATCCATTTTCCTATGAATGACTCTAATTTCTCATTCTTTATGGCTGAGTAGTATTCCATTTTATAGAAAAACCACATCTTCTTTATCCAGTTTCCAACAGGTGGACAAATAGGCTGTTTCCAAGTTTTAGCTATTACAAACTGTGCTGCTGTAAACATTGGTGTTTATTATTTCTTTTCATCTGGCGCCAGCAGCCTTTATTGGTTGCAAGGACAGATGAGGGGAAATTCAACAGATCAAGCTCCGAGGCATGTCGGTGGACCTGCTTGGACCAGTTGCTGCATTTAATAGGCAGTGTTATGCCCAGATCGCGATGTCCCCAAAGACCACCAAGGAGTCGAGTCCAATGTAAATACTCGAGGAGTTTATTACAAGCTTGAGCCTGGACTCTTGGACTTCTCACCGTGCAGCGGTTCAGTGACAAGAGCCCCGACTAACTTCCAGACCCTCTTATAGGGTATAGGGGGCTTGAAATTCTCCTTCTTTCTTATTGGTTATATTCTATACCTTAAATCTATTGGATGTTGCTGGGGAACTTGCGAAAGCGGGCCGGCAAAAGCGGGAAGGGGCTAGAATCTAAGAGGAGGCAGTTTCAGTGGAAGGTCAGTGTGTTCTTTTACCCCTTCCTCTAATCTGTACATTCTGTTTTTCTTCTCTCTTACAAGGTTATGTTTTCCTTTCCCACCCATCTGGTTGTGCTTTTTATCTAGGCTAAGCAAATTTCTGCGGCCTGAGCTCATCCAGGAGTCAGGCGTGACATAAGATGGCCTTCTATCTTAAAATGGAGTAACTTTGGTCTCTACAGCAGTACAGCCTTTGTCTTAGCCCTCTTGTAACACATCATAAATGGTTGCTCTTGTTGAATTCTCTTATGGCAGTATCTTTTAATTCCCCTCCCCTTACTTATCTGTTGCCTTGCAGTGATAACATGGGTAATTTTTCTTCTGAGTTTTCAGTTGTTGCTTTTCCTTAACATTCTTATTCATGGTCATCTTCTTGTGACCTTTTTTCACCACTATGTGTGTCCCCACTTGAATTTCTGTGCTGATCTCCGAACCTATTTATCATTTGCTGGCTGGCATTCACTCCTGTATAGACCATGTGCGCTTCAAGTTAAGAAAGCTTCAAGGAAGCTGGCGGTGTAGTGCATGTATGTAATCCCAGTACTCTAGGAGCTAGGGCAGGAGGTTTGCAAGTTCCAGCCCTGCCTGGCAATTTAATGACTTAGCAAGATCCTGACTCAAAATAAAATAAATAAGGACTGGGTGCTGGCTGCATGATACATGCTGATAATCTCAACACTTGAGGGGCTGAGGCAGGAGGATGGCTGCAAGTTTGAGGCCAGCCTGAACTACACAGCAAAACCTTGTCTCAAAAAAAGGCGGGGTGGGTGGGGATGGAGGTCAGTGGGAAGACCTTGGGTTCAATCTCCAGTACCACACATACACACAGAAGATTACTTCAGATGGAAATCATCAGCCTCGTCAGTTCTGATCCTCTACTTGAATGATACCACTTGCTTTCTCTTTCCTAATGCAGTGGCTTGAGAATCATGTGCTCTCCCTGTGCCTGCATAGCTTATCAGTTGCCAAGTCCTAATGCTGTTGGTCTGTGTATTTAATTTAATTAACATTTTTTAAGAGACAAAACTCTCACTATGTCATCCAGGCTGACATGGATTCCTGAGCTCAAGCTCTCTTCCTGCTTCATTCTTCTTAGTGGCACTATAGGTATACACCTCCGTGCCTGGCTAATATTGATAGGGAAAACTTTTATAAATAGCAGAAACCTATAAAGTGTTACAGTGTAGAATGGCTTCTGCTGTCTCTAACAGCAGTTTGTTTGTTTAGTTCAGAACTGACAGACACCGAAGGCATTAATTACTGAATGAGACATTTGGTCTTACCCTGAGATAACAGGCACGTCATAACCTTGAGCTCCAAAGAGACTGGAGTTACATGATTGAGAAGTGTCAAAATGAAAAGGACCATTGCTAACATTTGCTCCCTGACCCTGAGCACCCCCCTCCTATGGGCTAAGATAACTAGGTAAATCTTAAAGGTAAACTCCCTAACTACAAAGAATTACTGCATCTGGGTTGAAAGTTAACTGTCTTGTGAGCGTGATTTGTATATCATCAATATGAGCGATGAGAATGAAATATAACCACCTGAATGAAGCCAAGGCTGTAAAAGGAGGAGTTGTAACTGTGTAATCGATTCTTTGTTGACAAATAAAACTTGTTATTTTACTTCCGTTCTGCGCCTCTCTGTGAGTGTCACTTGCCAATTCCTTCCGTAACTATGGGGGTGGGGGCTGGGGGGCTGCTGGGATGCTGGGAATTAAACTTAGGACCTTTGCAATGAGCTACATCACCAGACGTTTTAAAATTTTGAGACAGGCTCTAAGTTGCTAAATTAGCCAGTCAGGCTAGTCTCAAACTTGTAATCCTCCTGCCTCAGCTTCACAGAGGGCTCTGCATCACCACTGTCCGGTTAATATTGTCTCTTAATCATCTCTACAGTATCTTCTTTTCATCTCTATTCCTCCTCTGGTTGGTCTGTTTTCTTCTTAGGTACACGTAGTTATAATTTCTTAGTAGTGTCTTTTCTCTAACCTTGTTCTATAGTTTTCTACTGCCTTAAGTGATCTTTTTAGGCACCTTTAATGTGTTTGGTGGCTCCTCATCTGTGGGTTGAAATTTAGCACTTTTTGATATCATAGAAGGGGAGGTCTTTCTTGGCCTGGAACCTATCTTACCATATGGTTATATTTCTTTCCCCTCTTGCCTAGTTTTATTATACACCATAGTAAAAAGAACACTAGAGATGGACTCTCCCATTAGTGGAGCTGTTAGTCTGGAGGATGAGTAATATCAATCCACATTTGTTGAGGACTTATAGTCCAGACACCACTTTCCTCCTATGAGAAGCCTTTCTGGTTTCTCTCATGCTCTTGTACTGTGTATTCTAGCTGCTATCAACAATATCATCATCATCATCATCATCATCATCGACAGTGAAAGGAATCGGACCCAGGGCCTTGCCCTTGTTAGCAAGTGCTCTATCACTGAGTTAGGTCCCCCAGCCATTAGCTATTATCAATTTTTGGTGAACTTTGTGCGTCTCTTTACTATACTTGTTTTCAGACAGTCTCTTGCTGTGTAGTTTAGGCTGGCCTGGAACTTGCCACAGTCTTCTGCCTCAACTTCCTGAGTGCAAGGATTGCTTACAGGCTTGTTGCCCAGCTTTTTTTATTATACTTAACGTTTTGTTTTGTTTTGTTTTGTTTTGTTTGTTTTCCTTTGGTATCAGGGATAGAACTCAGGACCTCCTGCTTGCTAAATCCCCATCTCTTTATTATACTTTTGAAAGGCTCCTGATGGGTTCTTTGTGTTCTTGGAACCTACAATAGAGTGAAAAGGCAGTGTTTGTTGAAGAGTGAATCATTTTTTGCCCATTTTTCTCCTCACTCTGTGATCACTATCCAGTTCCAGTTTTTTATTACATCAGACCTTATCCATCCATTTGCTCCAGTACTTTATATTGCACTTACCATTTCAGAATTTACATTTAGTAAGAGCCCTTTAAATATTGTAGAATTATAAATTGGAAATTTGTTTTTTTTTTTTTAATTGACCAGATTCTTTTTTACAAAGTCAAATGTTTGGCAAGCACATTAGCCACCCACCCCCAACATGCTGCAATGCTGCAGTGTCCTAGATTCTAGAGCAGAGAATGCAATTAGGCATTACTAGAGTATAAACTAAACATCGAAGAACTTTAAATGAACTGGCTCTCACTTAGATGAACTTCTTGGTGCTACTGCTATTGATTGGCAGTTTTAGCAAGTCTTCAGAAAGTGAGCTTAACACTTTTTCTTGATGTTGAGGCACAGAATTTGTTTTCTAAAAGTACTTGTCGTTTTGTAGATAATACTGAAAGCTTTTTGGTTAGGCTTTATTTGGAAAAATGGAATTCATAGGGAAATATTTTTAATCAAGAAAATTGAACAGTGTTTTCTAAAATGTTGACTTTCATGGTTCTTATTATCTTTGTTTTTCCCTTAAAATTTAGGGAAAGTGCTTTAGCAAGTGCAGATTTAGAAGAAGAAATTCTCCAAAAACAAGGACAGAAAGGGAAAAAGTCTCATTCTAGTGGTAAAGTAGCAGATAGAAAAGTACTTGATGATAAAGATCACAACTTTGATGCAAATCAAAGAAAGAAAATCCCAGTCAACAAAGAAGAAGAGAGATTAAAGAATGAGAGGACTGTGTTTGTTGGGAATTTGCCTGTCACGTGTAATAAGAAGGTGAGTTTGTACTTTGTACGTTGTAAAAATTCAGAGAAATTGACTTTGTTTGTCTTTCATTTATTGAATAAGCACATAACTACTAAGTCATTAATGTAACTTTATTATGAATGACTAGAGATTTCATACTACCATAAACTAATTCTAGTATCCCGTGCCCCCTTTGCTCTCATTCTTATAATCTCTGCCTTCATACTTGCAGATCCCAGTTCAATTATTGTAGTGGCTTCCTCTCTGGACTTTTTCATATGCCACTGGACTGGAAATTCCCTGTGTGCAGAGAAACTTAGTCATTTTCTCTCTGTTCTATTGCATCAGAGTATGTTGAGCCTAGTAGAGGCTTGCTAAATAAATGCTCATTGGGTAAAACAATGAATGCATCCTAAACTTCCTAGGTTGTGTAGGGTTCACTCTGTTGAAAACATCTCCTTTGTTTTCTGTGGTATGAAGTATTAGCAGTCTTGGCTCAAAATCCTCATCTACTTCCCTAAAAATAAAACAATACAAAAAACCATTTTTTTTGTTTGTTTTTTGAGACAAGGTTTCACTATGTAGTTGAGACTGACCTGGAACTCACTATGTAGCCCAGGCTGGTCTCGAACTCACAGCAATCCTCCTGCCTTAGCCTACTGAGTGCTGGGATTACAGGTGTGCACCATCATGCCCCTAAAAACCATTTTGATTTTTTCCTTTGTCACACCTTTTGTCTGGTAGCATTTGATTTGTGGTTATTTTGTTGAACATCACAGATTTTGTTTTATTTTTGGGTAATTTTTAGGTTTTGGGTATTTACCAATTAGATTATACGCAATTCAGGGAGTGTGGTAGTATAATAGTGCTTTGCATAAATAAGTGATTTTTAATTAGAATTAGTTACAGAAATTATTGCCCTATCTGTAAAACACATACATTCTTCATATCTTGATCTTTAGAAATAATGTCTAAAACATACCCATTAGAATCTCCTCAAACTGTTGGTCTGAGATACAACTAAAGAATTCCTCATTTTTTTTAAAAATTAATGTGAAAAAAATCAGAAAATACTGTATATGGAAAATATGTCTAACCTCACTGTACATGTGATAAAGATGAAAGACTAAAAGAAAAAATATTTACAACTCATAGACACTTATATCAGCTTGAGTTGCATTTTCTTTATTCTATAAGCTTCAGTAAAACTTTGGTACAACTAAGCAGTCACATACTTTTCCTGAATTGTTCTTAAAAGGTGATTCATTTTGTCATTCTGTTTTGTGATACTTACTTGATGTGCTGAAAGTGAACTAATGTATGTATATGTATATTTTTTTTAGAAGCTGAAGTCATTTTTTAAAGAGTATGGACAAATAGAATCTGTACGATTTCGTTCTCTGGTATGTCTTCTCTGTTCATAAAATTTCATAATTTTAAAATGTTTTATGTTAAGTCAGATTTCCTGAATTCTTATACTGCTGGGCTGAAAGAGCCACCTGACTTTTATAAATATAGCCTAGGGAAAGAGTGGCTCTTGGTGTATATTGATGACTCTTAACACTTGTTAAATAATCTGATAAAGGGATATCTTTGTTAGTAATACCAACAGTGCATTTTGGAGTGTGAATGGATGACTTTTATTTGCTATGTCAATAGAGCTGTCAGAAATTCTGATACTTAAAGGATAGCATTTCTGGAAACTTAGCCAGTATGGGGGGTTCGTGTTCACATATGTGTTTTTAATTTTCTTACCTTGTAGTTAACTTATCACAGTATATATTCTTAAACACTATTTTTATCGTAATTCATGTTTACCAGAATTCAGAAAATACCTACTCCACAATTCTAATTGCTCTTTCTTTTATATGGTTCTCTAAAATGGAGCTTCTCGCCAGGTATGGTGGTGCATGCATATAATTCCAGCACTGGGGTGGGTGAGTCAGGAAGATTGCTGTGAGTTGAAGGTCAGTTTATGCTACATAGTGAGTTCAAGGCTAGCCTGAACTGCGTACTATGTGAAACCCTGTCTCAAAAAGAAAACAAAACAGAAAAAGGGTTTCTCAGCCTTCATACTATTGAAGTTCTGAACTTTTTGTTGAGGGCAGCCCTGTTCCTTATAGAATGTTTAATAGTATCTCTGGCCTTAATTCATTAGGTGCTCTCAGTTCTCTCCACCCCAGTTGTAACAACCAAAAATATCTAAATATTGCCAAATATTTCAAGAGTCAAAACTGCTCTTTGTTCTAAGAGACATTTCCCAAGATTTTCAGTCCCTGTAATTTCTGTCATTGTGTTTTGTTTCCTACTTTTATCACCTGAGTCCCATTTCCCTATTTCAGACCCTTGCTTTAACATGGCAACTGGGGTGTCTTGCCTCCGTCCCAGCTGCAGCATGACTACCTGCCTTCATTCACCCCACCCCAATCTATGCTCCCTGCTTATTTTTTCTGTCATTTCCATGGTATTGGTTTGCAAGCTTTGGAGGTGGTTTTGACTGTTTCCCTGGTTCACTTAACCTATTATTTCCCATCCTTGCCTGCTTTTCTGGATTTTTGTTTGTTTGTTTGTTTTGAGATAGGATCTTGCAATGTAGTTCAGGCTAGGTATGAACTCCCTATGTACTCCAAGCTGGCCTCGAACTTGTGGTGGTCCTTCTGCCTCAGCCTTAGGAGTGCTGGGATTATAGGTGTGCACCCCTGGGCCTGGCCCCTTGCCTGCAGTTTGTCCCTGATTAATGAGTCCCCCCTCACACACACACAAATTCTGTTTTTGTTAGAATAGTTGGAAGCCTATTATCGTTTTCTATTTTATGTTTTCCTCTAATTGTGCAGCCCAACATTGTCAACCTGATCTTTCTAAAGCCCTTTCTTCTGGAACTCTTGCCTTGGGGAACTCACTATCCCCACACCCAGCCATTTTGTTCTCACCTTAAAGGAGCCTGCCCAGCTTCTTCCCTTCCCTTGAGCTCTGGATGTGTTACTTTTCAGCCCCACCCTTGTACTTGGCTGCGGCTTTAGAGCACCTGTTGTTCTTTGCTTGTCTCCCCTCCAGACTAGCAGCAGTGGTTACCAGCAGTGTGTCTTATTTATCCTTGCATTCTCCAACACCTTGTGTTGATTAAATATATGTTTGCGGCATGTAAAAAGTTTCTTTTCACTGTCAGTTAAATCTGTCCTGAGGTCTTAGCTTGACAGTGTGTTCCTCTGTACTTGTGCTTTCACACCTCTGTCCTTTTCCTCTGTTCATTTTGCCTGGAGTCATTTTATTTTTTGTTTTGTTTTGATTTTTTATATATTAATTTTATAGTAATGGTAGTTGATCATAGAGCTTCATGCATGCTAGGTGAGTGCTATATCACTGAATTGCTTCCTTAGCTCTTTACATTATACTTTTTGAGATGTGGTCTTGCTAAATTGCCTTGGCTAGTGATGGTGAACCTTTTAGAGCTTTCAGTGGTACAACCTGCGCTGGCACATGTGCCATAGGTTTGCTGCCATTGTCCTATGGTTTCCTCCAATTTGTGATCCGCCTGCCTCAGCCTTCTGATTAGCTGGGATAAGTCATTTTTCACTCTCCTAGCCCGGAGTCCTTATGTCCCATTTCCCTGTGTGCAGGTAGAACATCTTCAAAACATTTTTGACATTTTATACTATTAATTGGTATTTCTTCCTCTGAAGGAAAAGTTTTTTTCTTATTTTTTAAATAAAATACTTTCCTAAAGTATTTTTATGTTTTATTGCTGTGCTATACCTATTAATATCTTTAGTCATAGGATGTAGGTCTTTCAGAGCTCCATAAACACACTCTGTGTGTTTTGATGACTGTCATTCACGTGTTGAGTATTCATACAGAGACTTCTTATGTATATATATTTTTCTGTTGTGAAAGTTAGTATACTTGGTGATTTGAAGACACAGAAGAGAGGAAATAGTACAATTTTTTTAGTTCTACTTAATAAACTGTCAGGTGACTAAAGAAAAAAATATTTTCTAGAGGAGGTTTATAAGCACTGCCCTGGGTGAGATTTGCATTTATACATGATTCTACACTGACTTGCAGGGCAGGTGCCTTTTCACTACTTCACTGATTTGGCATATTATATAGTTGTTCACTTGAATTTCTTCTCTTCCATAAAGTTTTCTTCACTTAGTCCATTGATCCTTAAAGGCTATGTGTGAGAGGGAAAAGAGGAAAGGGGAAATAAGAAGAATTAAAATGTGTTATGTATATGACCAGCTCCCCGCAGTGAATGTAATCATTATGTACTACAAAAATCTAATTAAAATTTTAAAATTCACAAAAAGCTATGTAAGAATGAAAATAAAGTGATCTAGAATGTAAATTGGATTCTCTTGCCCAGTTTAAAGATCCAATTAGAATATATTTTTCCCAGTTAGAATATATAAACTCTTAGAGATATGGAGAAGTTATATTTAACTTATTATTATATCTAATTTATAGGTATATCCAACTTATGCTTTATTAAGCATTTAAAAATATATAGACTATAAAAGATGTTAATGTCAGGCATAGTCATGGGCATCTGTATTCTCAACACTCAAGAGTTTGAAGCAGGAAGACTGCTGAGAATTTGAGGTCAATTTGGGCTACAGACTGAGCTCAAGGTTGGCCTAAACTACACAGTGGCACCCTGTCTCAAAAAAAAAAAAGATAGGGTCTCCAAAGCCTGGACAGGGTCTCCAGGCCGGCCTTGAACTCACAGTCCTCCTACCTCAACTTCCTGAGGACTAGGAAGATGTTAATTTATAAACATTGCTTTTTTTCAACAAACAATTTTCCTTTCATCTTTTCATGTCTTCAGAATCATTGTCTTCTTGCCTCTTTCTCTTCAGTTACCCACACAATGGAAAGTCTTGAGTTTTCTCTCTAGATTATTGAGTTACTGCTGTTTAATCTGGAGCGTGATGCTGTCTTTGGGACTTCTTTTTTTTTTTGAGACAGGGTCTCACTGTGTAGTTGAGATTGACCTGGAACTCACTATGTAGCCCATGCTAGTCTCGATCTCACAGTGATCCTCCTGCCTCAGCTTCCCGAGTGCTGGGATTTACAGGTGTGCTCCACCAAGCCTGGCTGGGACTTCTTAATCGTAAGCCATGAGGTCCCCTTTATTGTCTAGATTTTTTTTTTTTTGGTACAGTACCAGGGATCTAACTCAGGACTTTAAGCTTGTGAAGTGGGTAATGGAACCACTGAGCTAAATCCCCAGCCATAGAATGTTTTTAATCGTGATGTTAGAGATTTACATTTCAATTAAAATATTAATTTAAAGTAATATTTCAAATACTGGATATTTTAATATTTATTTTTTTCTTTTTAAAAGATTCCAGCAGAGGGAACTGTATCCAAAAAGTTGGCAGCAATCAAGTAAGTTTATAAAAGGAAAGGACTCGTCTTAAATTCTTCCTTTTTGGTTAAAAAATGAGACCATTACTTAACAGCTTCATAGATTTTTGTGTTTAGATAATAGAATATGCTTTACTGTTTTCTTGTGTATGTAATAGCTTATAAATTAATCAGATGTTTATCTTTAAAGCCTTAATATAAATTGTAGAGTCATAAAAAGTATTATAAAATAATTTACTAGAAAGCATTTCACAAGAAATTTCAAGAATGTTCATAGTGATTAGATGACCATAAGGAAGTTTTGTGCCCAAATAGTACCAGCCGTGAATACCCAAATTTTCTAGTATAGGTCATGAATACTATGTTTCTTCAGCTCTTGGAATACCTCATAGTTTCCATTATAGCAGTGTGCATCTGAATGAGAGTTTGGGCACCTTATACTTTCCATGGCTGGTCAGCCTGTGACCACTTCATTTTCTTTCTGGGAATTTAGGGACCATACAGATAGTGTGGCTTGGGGGATCGAATGCTCAAGGGATGTCCTTTCCTCTTTGCTCATGAATGAGACATGTACATGTCCTCATTCCCTCTTCCCGCACCGATTTATTTACATTTATCTTTAGCTTTATTCAGGGTTTCAAATTAGTTCGCACTCTCTTGGGTGTTTTAGCTTTTTTTGGGGGGGGTTCCAGGGATCAAACTCAAGACCTTAAGCTTGCTATTCAGGTGCAGTGCCACTGAGCTAAATCCCCGGCCCTGTTTTTGCTTTCTTAATGGTACATAGAAGGATGTGTTTTATAAGCAGAGATGTCTTTATATTAGATGAAATTAATTTCATCTTAAAGTAAGGTACTTTAGAAACATTTTGGTCTCTTTGGATATCTTGATAACTTCATTCATTCCTAATTTGGAGTTTTATGTAGAGTTACTTGGTGGACCAATCCTTTGCTGCTTTTTCCCCATAAGCATCACAGTGCCGGGTAAATATCTGCTGACTGCCATAGTCTTGTTTATTGTGGTAGCCAAACCTGTAGCTCCTCCTAGATAGAAGGCATTGTGCAGATGCTGATAGAAATGGGAAACTCAGTGAAATACATCCCTTCTTTTTGAGTTACATAAGTGTTCATTTTGTATGAGGCTAAAACCCAGGAACCTAAATTTTGGCAGAAATAGAAGTTTGGGGGTGGTGTGCCAGAAAAACGACATTTGTACTGTCTTTACCGTCAGTCTCTCTACCTCCCAGCTTTAAAAATTGAAGCCAATTATTTGAACAACTAATGAAGCAAGTTCTTCAAAACTGAAAAGTGTAAAAGTATGTGCAGTGAAAAATTTCCTTCATATACCTGTTCTCTAGATAGCCAATTCCCTGCCCCAGGCCAGCTGTTAGTTTCTCGTGTGGCCTTCCAGAGATATTTTATACATTTTCAAATGATTCACATACATGTTCTGTCCCCTGCATGTGACTTTTGAAGGTAGGGTTGTTAATCATTGCAACCAGGGCCTCATGCATGCTGGGCAAGCACTCTCACATTGAGCTATACGTGTAGCTCATACTTTTTATTTAAGTCAGTGGTATTCATACTTTCCCTTTTTTTTTCCATTCAGAATATCTTAGAGATCTGTCAGTATACATACTATAATTGTAAAAGTAATTTTTAAAAACAAGATTTTAGTATTCTGTCAGGTACTTTATTTGAACAGATACCCTAATGGACATTTAATTTTATATTTCATTCTTGTGGCTGTAATACATAATGCCAGTGTCATTGAACACTATTGTCCTTAGGTAATTTTGTACTAGGGCTAACGGATCTGTAGGATAAATCTGTGGTAGTAGAACTGCTTTGAAAAAAGGATATTTGCAAAGCCCAGTATGGTGGCACATGCCCGAAATCCTATCTCTTGGAAGACTGAGGCAGGAGGTTCGAGGCCAATCTGGACTACATAGTAAGACACTGTTTTAAAAAACCAAAAAAACAAGATTGTTTCCATTCTAAATTTGCCTGCTGTCTCATAGAGTTGGTCATGTATTATTTCCACACTTTTATCAGCTGTAGCTTTTACATTATAAAGACAGCGCCTTTTTGAGGTTTTGATCATCAGCAATTAATAGGTAGCAATGATTGTTCCAATTTTGTTTCTCTTAAGAGTCTGTGTCTTATCTTGCACTTAGATATCAGTTTGTGCTTGCTTTTATTTGAATCATTACTACTGGTTTTTTTTGTTGTTGTTTTTTTCCTTTTGCTGTTGAATTGTTTGGCTCATTAATTGGTAAGATACTAATGTAATCAACCTTTTATGATACGTGTTCAAAATGATTTTTCCTGTTTTTTTTTTAGCATTTTGACTTGGAGAATTTTACCATGTGTAAATTGTGGGAGGGTTTTTTTTGTTGTTTAATTTTTTTGTACAGCCAAAAGTTTTAAAAAGTGTTTTTCTTTTTTTTTTGTTTGTTTGGTACCTGAGAATAAACTCAGGACCTTGAGCTTGAGAGGCAGGCGGTGGCACCGTTGAGCTAAGTCCCTGGCCCCATAGTGTTTTTCTTTATTGAGTAATTTACCTCTGTTTAAACTGAGTATATATGAAGTGTCCAGCTTTAAGAGTTTAATGTTTGTGTGGCACTTGTGAAATCATCACATTGTCATTGTACAACACCCTTCCTCACCCTAGGTTTCCTCCCACCCCTTTATAGTGCATCCGCCTATTGCCAGACAACTCATCTACTTTGTGTCTAATATGTTTCTGTTTTCTGGAGTTTTATATAAATGGAATCATCATAAAACGTTTACTCTACTTGTTTTCAGTTTTTTTCTTCTTAGATGCTGGGGATTCAACCCAGGGCCCCAGCATGTTAAGTACTCTCTCCAGCCAGTATATACTTTTATCTGGCTTCTTTTGTCTAGCATAATGGTTTTGAGGTTCACAAATACTGTTGCTTGTGTCAGTAGTTTGTTTTTCATTGCCAGTAGTATTCCATTGCATAAAATTATCACAGTTTATTCATTCACCAGTTCAGAAATATTCAGGTTATTTCATCTTTTGGCCATCATGAATAAAGATACTAAAAACGTTTATGTGCAGATATTTATGTTAAGAAAGTTCCTGGGGTTGAGATTGCTGGTGGGTCCTGTGATAGGTAGATTCGAGCTTTCTAAGAAACTGCAAAGTTTTCTACAGTGGTTTACCATTTTACATCCCCATCAGCAGTAGCTGAAAACCCACCAGCTACTTCACATCATCAACAGCACTTAGTATTGACAGTCATTTAATGTTAGTCCTGCTAAATGTTTGTCAGTTTTGCTGATTACTAAAGATGTTGAACACCTTTTTGTGTGCTTCGTGGTTTTCTTTTCTTTGGTGAATTGTCATTGTAAAATTTGCTCATTTTCTAGTGTCTTCTTTGTATTCTTACCAAGTTTTAAGATGTCCTTTGAATGTTCTGAATGTAAGACTTTTTTCTAATGTTTTAGTATTTTACTTCATTTTGTAGTAGTTTAATGGTATCTTTTGCAGGGTCAAATGTTTTCAGTTTTTTGTTTTTTTAAACCCAACTGAAAGTGTACTGTTAGCAGGTTCTGTAGTCTAGGGAAGTCGGGGCAGTGAGGCCTGTGCTGTTCTGGCCCAGTCTCAGGTTTAGATGGGCTGGAATTGTCTCAGGAGACAATAGCTTCTCCATGCCAGGACAGCAAATTTCTGCCTTGTTCCTTTCACAGGTCCTGTGCAGTACAGCATTTTCCACCCTCCCCTGATGGCAAGAAGCCTCTGTTCCAACCGCAGGAGTCTACTCTGTGCCCTGGGTGACAGACAGGCTTGCTGTCCCTTCCCTAGTGGGCCCACCTATTCCTCCACTGGGAGAAGAATCCACGTGGGGCTTGGCTACATTTTTCTTCCACTTGCAGCCCCCAGTGTACATACTTATGAGTTCCCTCTCCTTCTAAGGCTTTCCTGTGGGTGCCAGCAGAGGTCAAATGGGGTAGATCCTGGGGGCGTGCCAACTTCTGCAGAAGCAGCTCCCCAGGTTCTGTTTGAGTCTACCTCAGAACTAGTGCCTTTCTGGCCTCTCCTTAGAAAGAGGGGCCTGGCCTTAGGTTTCACACCACTTGTTTTCTCTGAATCTCCAGCTCTCCAAAGACTTCCACAAGATTTAAGATTTGTCCCACAGTGGTTATTTGGTGTCTTTCTACTGTTGGAGCAGGCTGGAGGGAGGCTCTTCGTAGGTAGAAGCAGAAGCTTTGCTATCCATCAAACTTGGTGTAGGCCACCTCTGCAGAGTCAAGTCAGCCACATGCTTGCTCTTTGTAGTCCCTGTGCCAACTCCCCATAGAATAACAAAATCTTGTCCATTCATGTGTGTCTGGGGTTATGCTGTTGATGTTGTCAGCAGCTGCATATTGCATGGGAAGAGTGAGGCTCTGGAGTCAGCAGGCTTGGTTGCAATCCTAGGTTGGCTACTTATTACCTTATGATCACGATGATGTACATTTTCAGATCTCAGCATCCTTATTTATAAAGTCAGAAAAGTAACCCCCATATCAGATGTGAAATTAAATGAGATAATATTAAAATGTCTAGTTCAGGATCTGGTAGGGATTAGGCATTCAGTAAATGATAGCTGATTTCAATAATATAAAACTATTGGGAGCTGGGGTGTTGCTCAGAGGTAGAGCACTTTGCCTAGTATGCAGGGGGGTCCTGGGTTTGATCTATAGCACCAAAAAAAACCCAAAAAACACAAACTGTTAGATAGCATAGTACCACATTACAGAATGGCATGAATGGTGGGCTGATGTCTCTACTTCAGACCCCCAATATGGTGCTGTACTTGGCTTAATACATTTTTCTGTCTCAGGAAAATTTTAAAAAGAAAATGAATTCTGTGGGTGATTCTGGCCACTGTTTTCTGCTTCCCTTATTAAGACTGCTTATTTGGGTATAGTATTAACATTTTGTTACTTTAAAACAGTATGTACACATCTTTCAGGAAAAATCTTTGGTCCTTGTGAGGTCCAAATTTTGCTGACTTACACATTAAATTATATGACCATTTTGGAAACTTAGTGAATTAATGAGTACAAGCCTTGAACATACCAGGTGCAGTCATTAAAAGTCATAATGTGACTCCCATGAAAGAGCATTAACACCCACCTATGTTCTGACAAAAGAGCTAAGTCTGACTCTGATTGAACCTTTCTGTATCTAGCTGCTAGTTCACAAAAATATAAAAGACAAAGGTACGTGTTGAGCTGCACTGCTCAAAATCCAAGGCAGTGAGAGGTTCTGCAGTCCAGACAGTAAGATAAAAAAAGAGATACAGGGTTGCTGCAGTTAATTAAACTGTGCTCCAAACATACCAAGTCAAAAAATGGACAAAACCAAAATGTAATATTAAGGATTAGCCGCTGGGGTGATAGAATCACATGGACAAACACAGGGAAGTGGTCCATACAAAAGTGTATGGGGTGGGTTCCTTTGGAAGGAAGGAGGGGCTGCAACTGGGAAGGGACACAGGCCACTGGATGGGCTGTGGCTGCAGCTGCAAGGGCCTTGGGCTTGGGTTGATTCACTAAACAGTATAAGGCTGTGTACTGTTCTACATCAGCGTTTTATTTTACAGTAAAAAGGAAAATCCAGGTTCATGTGTGTGCTGGATTCAGAGCAGCAGCTGAGATGGCAACATCTAGTACTTGTATTTCTCTTAGGGCTTGTCGCATGTTTGCTCTTGTGTTCTTACCTCTGTTTTTAGAAGTTTTATGAGTTTTACTACTTATTCTAAGAAACTAAAACTGCTACGTTTTGTCACACGTGTTGATGGTAGAAAGCTAAACTGCAGTGACTTTGAAGTTAACACATTTTACCTTTTTTGTTACTGTTACAGACGTAAAATTCATCCTGATCAGAAAAACATTAATGCTTACATTGTGTTTAAGGATGAGAGTGCTGCTACAAAAGCACTGAAAAGGTAATTTATCTCTGAGGTATTAACAGAATTATTGTTATGAGGACTTTGTATGGGGGAGTTGCTGGGGATTGAACCCACAGCCTTTGTGCTGAGCTGCAGCCTCAGGGAACACCCCCCCCCCACCTTAATTTTTATTTTGAGAAAGAGTCTTTATGTTGCCCAGGCTCTGCTTGACCTTGTGATCCTCCTATCTCAGTCTTCCAGAGTACAGGACTTATAGGTTTACACCACTGCACCTGGATTTTTTACTCTTTTCCTTCACTTTGGAGTAGATATTTTAGTAATTTGGTGCTGGTTTTTAACAGCCATTTTCTCTTATATTTATAACATAGAAATGGGGCCCAGATTGCAGATGGATTTCGTATTCGGGTTGATCTTGCATCTGAGACCTCATCTGTGAGTAGTACTTGATTTGTTTAAAGAACTTAACTAGAGTCTTGTACGGTGAAGTATTTTCCTCTGAGATAGAAATATTTTCCCCTGAGTGCTGGGAGGAGGTGGAGTCAGTAATGGAGCATCACAGAAATAGGAAGTGTGGCCTTAGTCCTCTGGTGCCACAGAGTTGGTGCCAAGAGGAGCACAGGACTCAGGTCAGCATTAGTTTCAAGAATAAGTCCTCTTTAAAAAAAAAAAGTCATCTTCCATTTGAAGGTGTGCCCCACTGTGTCAGACAGTTACAGAAAGTTAGCCAGGAGGGTGCATTAGAGATGATTTGGCAAAACACCTTATTTTATAGATGTCATTCTATCAAAAAATTGTTGTTCATTAGACAACTTTTGAGAACTGCCGTAGTTACTTTTTTCTCGTTGCCTGATACCTGTAAGTTAAAGGAGGAAATCCTTATTTTGGCCCACAGTTTGTAGAGGTTTCAGTCTATAATTGGCTGGCTCCAAGGCAGGGTGGCATTGCCCAGGGGGAATAGAGAAAGTATATGGCAAGCAGGCAGGAGACCGCAAAGCAAGGAACAAGTGACGATGCTAGCCTTCTTTCTGCCCCTTATATTTTGTCTAGGTTACCTACCTAGGGCAGATAGCACTCACACCCAGCATGGGGCACCCTTAATCCTATCCAGAAGTATGCCAAACCAGTCAGTGGACTTATTTAGTAATCACAAAAAGAAAAAAAAAAAATTAGTAATCACACACCCAGCATCATACACTCTAAACACAGCCACCTCTGAAAAAAAGCTCTCTTTATGAACACATGAGTCTTTTTTTTTTTTTCAGCTTTAATTGAGTTTATTGGTACATTTTAGGGATACAGTACAGTTACATTCATTGTTGGGATCTTGTGCCTCTACATGACAAGTCTTGATTCTCATTTTTTCCCCTTACCCCTGCCCTCCCTTCACCCCCTCCTCCCCTCTCCATCTACAAACACTTTATTTTCATCTTTTCGTTCTCTCACATTTTTTTCTTTTCCCTTTTTACTCTTCCCCTACCCATTCCACCTTCTCTATACCTTTAGCTCCTTTCTTCCCATTTCTAAATGTCAGTAATCTTATTAGGATCTTATGCATTGTTGCAGATTATTCACACCAGGGAAACTATTCGGTATTTACACATGTATGAACACGTGAGTCTTTTAAAAGACATCAAGAATACAACCCATAACAAGAACCCTCTCTGTCAGCACACTATTCGTAAGACATAGTCTCAGCTCACACAGTGTGTGGGTGGGATGAGCAGAGGGATAGCTTGAGGCTCTTTTGTGATAAATATTGTCAAAAGTTTACAAGATGCTTTGTCAATTCAGGAACTGTGCACTTGGGGGTGTTACAGGAAGAAGGGGCAAGGAGTGTTTTCAAGAGAACAGGTCTTGCTGTCAGTCCTGGAAGATGTGTAGGCATTTTCTAGGAGAAAAAAAATTTAAAGGGCAGTGGGAATATTTGGGAAGAAGAGTCAGTGTAAATGGTGGGGGTGGGGATGGGGTGGTGGACCCTGATTAGCACCTTCCTTGCAAGTACAAGGTCCTGAGTTTGAGCCCTGGTACATAACCCCCAAGAAAAAAGCAGAGGCCAAATTATGAAACCCTGGTCTGTTGTACTTCATGCACAGGAGTTTTGTCCAGGAGCGAGTCTAGAAGTGATGTTCCTAGATTCACATTTAGCAGAGGTAGCAGGAGATGGATGGAGCACATATTGTAGGCTTCACTCAGAAGTCTAGTGTTTCTGTCAGGGTAGACTAGTTGAGAAAGGAGATAGCATCCTGGGTGAAAAGCCTGGCTGGACTAGGAATGTAGCATAAGGTCAAGAAACTGTGGCTTACGGTCCAAACCACCTACCACCTATTTTGTTTTATTGATGTACAACCACACTTCTCTTTCTGTATCACCTATGGGATTTTGAGCTGTCAAGCAGATGTGAGTAGTTGGAACAGAGACCACATGGCCCACAAAGCCTAAAATAATTATTCTGTGGCCCTTTACAGAAAAGATCTACCCCTCCCCAGTCCAGCATAGCAGGCCTTCCCTGAGTCCCACTCTGCGTCAGTGCTTGCTGTGAGTGGAAAGTCTGTTCCTCTAGTGCCCATCGGCAGCTCGGGGAGGATGGGAGGAATAGAAATAAGGATCAAATGTGTGGTTTAGTCAGGGTTAAATGACCCGACCCATCAGATTTGGGGGAAGGTGGGATGGGGGAGGTGTAGGGGAGGTTAGGGTGGCTTCCATTTTCTGCTCCTTTAAGTGATTTTTATTAACTCTTTGTATTTTAGAGAGACAAGAGATCAGTGTTCGTTGGGAATCTCCCTTACAGTAAGTTTGTTTAAACAAATAAAGTACAGATACTGTATTTAAGTAACAAAATAAAAACTAAGTATTAATGTTTTGCTTAAGACTAAATTTAAGAAGTGTACAGTGTAATGATGTATTTTTTATGGGGTTGTGCTTAACCTGCTGTTATCAAACATCTCCAGATTTCTAAGGAAAAGCTAAGTCTTTACTTTTATTGTGGCAAATTTTTTTTAGAAGTTGAAGAAACTACTGTGGAAGAACACTTTCTGGACTGTGGCAGAATTTTGGCAGTGAGGATTGTGAGAGACCCAGTTACAGGAGTTGGCAAAGGGTTTGGCTATGTGCTCTTTGAGGTATGAGAGACTAATAAATGCCCTGTCCCTATATCTTGGGATGAACTAGGAGGGATTGTTGCTGTGTCATCATTCAGACGCACCTTATTTTCATCCTCAAATTCTGACTTAAAAATAAATTTGTTACTGGGCATGATGGTGCGTGCCTGTACTTTAAGTAGTCTAGGAGGCTGAGGCAGGCAAGCATCACAAGTGTGAGCCCAACATGGGCAACTTAGTGATACCCTGCCTCAAGAAACAGGGTGAGGTATATAGCTCAGTATGAAGGCTCTGAGCTTAATCCGCAGTACCTCCCAGAAACAAAACCAAATTAAACCCCTAAATGCATAACCTGCCATGATACTTTTTCAAGGATTGCACTTAACCAAAAAGTGTTATAGTTCTCTTTTTCTTCATACTGCTATTAAGATACTAGAAATTAATGGGACTAAATATCTGAATCTCCATCTTCACTGCAATGGATAAAATCTTCTCCTCAAGTAGAGGAAAGTTTTGGAGTCTTTGTACAAATTAGTTATATTTAGTTTAGTTATTTAACCAATGTTTCGTGTCTGACATCATTAAGTAGGAAAAGAACATACTTATCTGATGACACATAAATTTTTCTTGCCTCAACAATAGTGTATTTCATTTTTTTCCTATGCCTTTGTTTATAGCTGAACATCTATGAACATAAAACTTTGCAACCTTCTTTCGGTCATTTTCTGTCCTGTGAGCATATTGAATGTTATAATTTGATTTATACTGTTACTTTTCTGATTTTCGACACTAGCGGTGTTCTCTGTAATAGTGAAATTGTTGGTGATGTTTTTCCTCGAATGTTTACTTACATTTTAGATCACTTCTTTAGGCTTACTCCCCATTGGGATATCCGTAGGTCAAAGTACGTAACCGTTTTGAAGATTTGATAATACCTGTTGGTGGGTAGCTTTTTAGAAAAGTTGGGAGTGTTTCCCTCCTGTAGGCAATACTTCTTGGACTTTCAATATGGTATTAAGATTCTGTATTAAACTAATTAAGAATAATAAGAGGGGCCAGGAACTTAGCTCAGTGGTGCTGCCACCTGCCTCATAAGCGCAAGGTCCCAAATTCCATCCCTGGTACCAAAAAATAAAAAAAGAATAATAAGATTTGAGACATAAATGGAACCCTATAGGGTATCCAGTCTCACTTAAGATCTGTGATGGAGAGTTCCTTGGCCTCTACACAAAGCAGAGCTTTTACAGAAAGGTGCCCTGTGAGAAGGAGGGGTTTTTGGATTTATTTGTTTGTTTGTTTATGTATGCATGCAGTACTGGGGATCAAATTCATAATCTTGTACTTGCAAGGCAGGCACAGCACCACTGAGCTAAATTCTTGGCTCTGTTTAAAGATTGCATATGACTAATCGTTCAAAACTCCTTACAGTGAAAAAGTGAAGCCTCTGTGATTGTGACTTACCTACAAATTTTGAGGCAGCTTGAGTGTCTCTGAGAAAATTTATGTAAACCATGACCCAAGGAATGTGTGGAATTGAACTTCCTAGGAGGAGGAGGGGCTTCTCTGTGCAAGATTGAAGATTATTCTCGTCTATTAAGGTTGAAAGTTGACTAGTCTCTTTGCAGATGTGCAGCTGGTGGAATTAATGTGTTGACTTTTTTTCCAGAATACAGATGCTGTTCATCTTGCTCTGAAATTAAATAATTCTGAACTAATGGGAAGAAAACTAAGAGTCATGCGCTCTATTAATAAAGAAAAATTAAAACAACAAAGTTCACATACAGGATTAAAGAACGTCAGTAAATCTAAACAGAGACTTAATTTTGCTTCCAAAGATGTAGGACAATACAAAAATGTATTTATTGGAGAAAAAGCTATTCTTGTTAAGAAGAAGAAGAAAGGACAGAAAAAGATTGGGCGAACTAAGAATGTGAAAAAACAGAAGTAACCATCAGAAGCTGCTTGCTTTTTTCTCCATGAAGTCTGGCAATGTAAGTGTGATGAACTGATAGACTGAGCTTCACAATTTTTTATGGTTTGTGTATGTGAAATGTGGAGACTTGTACAACCTTATTCACATTGTAATCCTGTCCAAGCATTTGTTTTTTAATGTAGGCAATTTAGTTGCTGTGGATTATTTCTTATAACTGATGGTATAAGAAATTATTTTACTAGGCCTGGGTCAGCATTTAGAATTTTAATGATTATTTAACTTCTGTGTTGAGATAATTAGCACGTAAGACAGTTATTGTAAGAATATGTTTTGCTAGAGAAGACTAATTTAAATTAAAACAAACAATAAATCTTATCACTTACTGATTGTACATAGACCAAGTAGCCTTAATAACCTTAAAGTGGCAATACTGATTCCAGGTCCAGTCATAATACCTATGAAAGATTTGAGAAGTGTTACATAATACTCAGTTTTCTTTCATTTGCACTTGTGGTAAATGGGAGTTCTAGATTTTTTTGAGGGAGATCAAAATCTTTATCAGTTCGTTTTAGAACTACATAACGTTCATTGCAGGAATTTTGTAGCTGGATTTTTTTTTTGGTGGGGGGGGTACTAGGGATGGAACTCGGGTCCTTGGGCTTATGAGACAGGTGGTGGCACCACTAAGCTAAATCCCAGGCCTTGTACCTGGATTTTTATTTTGTTCTATCAACTAATAATGACTAATCAATAAGAATGTAAAATGACAGTGTCGCTGAGCCTCCCCCACAAGCATGTCCTGAGTTCGATCCCTGGTTCTGCAAAAAAAAAAAAAGTAAAGAAATACGGTTTTGATTTATCTAATGAGTAACTCAACATTACTGAAGTCTTTGGCAAACTCACTACTGAGTAGTACTACTCTGTGAGCACTACTAGTGAGCAAACTCACTACTCTCTCTTTTTTTTTTGGTACTAGGGATAGAACTCAGGACCTTGTGCTTGGCGGGCAGGCACTGCACCACTAAGCTAAATCCTTAGCCCTCTACTTTCATTTCTGTTCAAAAAATATTCTTCCAGGAAAACTTGTAATCCTTAAATTAGTGTCATTCAGTAGAATGAAACAGTCTTTTCAAAAAAATCATGCGTAAAGGAAACATTTTCTGTTGAAATACAGTATTTAGGTCACAAAGTGTAGGTGGATTTTAACACATAGAACACTGTTGCATTCCCCAGGGTGATAGACTGGTATGCCTTCACTGGTATTACCAAGTTTGTCTGTATCCAGGTAGGAAGCCAGGGGAAAGAGAAGTAACCCAGGATGACTTATTTTAAAGTCTGAAGTGAACATGGATTGTATCACCGACGGGTAGGAAATGTGATGAGTCATAATTTGTCAGGAGCAATTCTGCATAATTTTGGGGGGGAAATCATTTCACAAATTATGATTAGGCCTAGTTCTCCTGCCTACAGGCCAGCTATGACAGGTCAAGACATAAGTCCATTTTGGCCTCTGGTCACAGCTAACGTCTCAGTGTTCCGGTGATGCTGTGGTACTCCAGGTCAAGATTACACCAGCTGAAGACATCCTGGGGAAAGACAAAATCTTCATCTGCATTGTCCTCATTGTTCTTGGATTTTCACTGCTGCTCCCTGCTGGCCACTTGTTAGATTTGTTACTCTCTGCCCTCTGAGCCATCTGTTAGATTTGTTTCTCCTGATTCACCCAGTAAAGTTGTGGCAATTGGGGGGCTTTTGTCTTTGTTGCCCGGAGCAGCATTGATGAGGCCCAGTACCCACCTTCTCTTAAGATTCATTTTTCTAATAAATTAATTTGCCTTGTGCTGTTGTGGCTTGCAGGAGTCTAGGACTTACTGCAGATGTTCTAGTGATATCCCTTTTCTCTTTTCCTTGCAATGACTGATAGCTGTGAAAATCCTGTCTTTTGGGAATAATAGTGCATGGAAAACCTAAAGTCGAGATTTCAGTTTTATAGTAACACATGTGAAGTTTTAATGTCTGTTCTTAACAGTTTATATCTAGATGTCTCTCCCAAAGCTTCATGCACTTACAGGTGGTGCTCTTGGGATGTGATTGGATCATGGGGCATAATACTCATCAGTGAATTAGTCCACTGATGAGTTTACCCAAATGTGATGTTGGGAAATAAAGCCAGGTCAGGAGATGGGTACTGGGGCTGTGGCCTGAAGTTTGTATCTCCCTTTCTTCCTTTTGTGATCTCTGCTTCCTGCTGCCTTGGTATGAGCAACTGTCCACTGCCATGGCTTGCTGCTGTGCAGCCCTGCCTTGTAGCCAACCAACTATGGACTGAAAACTCTACGAACTATAGCCAGAATTGTAGCCAATATAAACTTTCTGTCTCTCATGTTGTAGGTATTGAGTATTGTCTCAACAATAAGTAAGATGTGTGCAAACAGACATGTACAATCTTGTCTTTATAGCCTACAAAATTTGCATCTTTATGTAAATTTAAATGGGAATATATGCAAAAATACTCAAGTATGATTAGGTGATAAATATTTGTTCTAAACATCATAAGGGATACAAAGCATAAAATATCCATTCTCTGGTTACAGGAAAACGTAGCTGTCTCTGCCCTCTACAGACGTATATCTTAAAGACCCATTACGTTTACGTAAGGATGGAACATTTGTAAACTGTATAGATTGTCCCTGCATATGTAGCTGTGTGCACAGATTTGTGACTCTCCTGTGACTGGACAGCTTCACATTTGTTACTGTATAATTGAAATTTCCATTTCTCTCTAAGAGTATGCATATTACTCTCTAAAATATGTTTGACAGTAGGACAAAATGTGTTTAGAAAAATTTCCAGAGATACTCTGGTAATGCTTTGTTACCTGGACTAAAATACCAGTATATCTGATTAAATATCTCTAGTCCCAAGAAGATATTGGCATGGTCATCAGTGGCTACAATTTGATTTTTATTGATTGTAATAGAGATTATCAGTGGCCTTGATTAATTGCAACCATATTCTTGTTTTTCTCGTGAAACCTTTCCCTGACTGCCCTATGAACATGTTTTCTGCTAATGTTCTTGGGCATAAAGTATAAGGTTAAATAATTCTTAGAATGAAAAGACATAGGAATGCTTCACATCACCTACCCAAGTATTTTCTCACTCTAGCATAGAAAAATCATAGCTTGTTCCTGTTGGTCACAGGCTTTGTTATAAAGAGCTCTGAACTAGTGTGTAAGCATATCTGGGTTCTTGACCCAGCTCTGTGACTGATTTTGAGCAAGTCAACTTCTCTGCACCTTAAACAATTAGTGAAGTAAGGGGTATTACTCTCAGTGGTTTTACACTTCTACCAGGATTTGTTTAATTTTATATTGTGACCAATATAAACATGAACATTTTTAGTCAACATGATCATTTCACTTGACAAGTATACTATATAGTATTTGGGATTTGGGAGGGATTGGGGGGCTTGTTCTTTAAGCATGGGTCTTGTTATGTTGCCTAGACTAGGCTTGAACTCACAGTCCTTCCACATCAACATCAGAGAAGCTGGGATTATACTAAAATTTTACTAAAAATACTGGTTATTCAGGTCACTCCACAGTCCACTGATGGGTATACTCACAAACTTGCTTTAGTGATTTTCATGCGGGCTCCCATTTCTGGAAATAGTCTATGCCTATATGTGTCTTAGCAGGTATTTCCTTTTCTGTTAATAGTTTGCCTAGTATGTTGTATCACATATTTTTCAGCATTTATGCTGTGTTGTAGTTAGGGTTTGCAAGGGAATAGATTTAATACAGCACACAAAATTTATAGGATTATTTTATAATATTCACCCAAATAGTCAAATGCAGTGGAGTGCAAGAGATCTGTCCAAGTGCTAGAGACCCAAAGAATCCAGCTGAGGGCCTGTATTCCTTGGCAGTGCCCTCCACGAGTCCAGCCAGAGGCCTAGAGCCCATGCAAGTTGGTGTCAAGGTCTGCTCTGGGAAGGCCCAAAAGCCAGTGGTGAAAGCTAGAAAATCTGTGTTGGCAGAGTTAAAGATCTCTGCCACCAGGCTGATGGATCTGCACTGGAACCAATGTATTGGTCAAGGTGAAGGAAGACCAGAGCTCCCCTGAAAAGAGCAGCCATCACCAGTGACAGCCAGGACCTGAGCTCCTCAGAGGATGAGAACAACCAATTTTATATCAGGAACACCAGACTCAGCAAGCTCCTCCAGGAAAATCAACAGTATACAATCTTCCCCTCCAGTTCTTTTATGCTATTTACAGCAATTCTCAGGTGGGTCTTCCATACCCAGAAACATGCTGACTCAGTTCAGCTAGGTGTTTCAAGTTGACCATTAGTTAATCCACCAGACATTGCTTTTACAATATATAAAGTGAAGGCCAGAGGTGAGTATCCTTCTTGGGTTTATCCCCGAATCACAATGTCATGGCCACAGTCTTAACTTTTCTCATTGCTGAGACAAAATACCTGACACCCAAAATTAAAAAGGTTTATTTGGCTCACAGTTTGTAGCGCTGGCTCCAAACCAGGGTGGCATGGCAAGGGGTATTGCAGAGGAGAAACAACAGTTCATGGGTGGCAGCAAAGTCACAAGCAGTGACCTTTCTTATATCCTATCCACACTACCCACCCTCACATTCAGGGAGGGGCAGACTTAATCCTAGTATTGCACCATGAATCAACCCCAGCGTTCACACATCCTAGATTGAGCCACCCCCGAAAAGCCCCACCTATGACTGACTGCATGAGGCTTTGGGTGCACATTGAGATACAAGCCCCAACAGTCAAGCCTGCTCATTTGCTTTGATACCTCATACCAGTTGTATGACATTGGTCAAATGTGTTCCACATACCAGAGGCTCAGGACATATTTGAGGTTCACTGTTTCCGTTTGGGATCAAAATCTGTGCAGGGTACAAAAAAAAGTTTTTGTCTTCTTGTGCAACCATCAAATCTGAATCATTTGGTTTGGTACATTTACACCTCCCCATTCTCACCTTTTCTCCATCCCAGTCGTCTTAGTGTATACAGTGCCTTTGGTCTTACTGAGGGCTCAGGCTCATCTTTACTTGAGCAGACCTTTTCTGAGCTACAGCTTAATGTCCAAAGCACCTCTGCAATAACTTCTGACACCAACTGTCCAGTCCAAGCTTCTTAGGCTAAGGGCACAGTTTTAAGGGTCTCTTCACCTCACACACTTACTCTGTGTGTATGTATGTATTTTCTAGTACCAGGAAAGGAATTTAGGACCATGCACTTGCCAGGCAGGAAAATGAGCTACATCGCTGGCCCGGGTCCTCACTTATGATGGGATGGCCACACATGGGGGGGGGGCGGGAGTTCCATTACTTTTTTGGGTTCTATAACTGATTTGAACTCAGGAAAGTGCTACACGTAGGATTTAAGTACAAATGAGAACTTGCCCAAGGAAGAGGCAGTTTTTCCTTTAAATTTCTTTTAAAGGTTATATATTTTTAGAAGAATTGTTACATTTTTCTCCACCTCATAAAATGCCCCCATCTAGTCATTCTGAGAAATAAATTTAATTTACAAGCCGGGTAAGCCATACACAAAGCAATATCGTCAGGGACCCTTCATCTTGATTCTCCACGAATAAGGTTGGCTACAGCTGCTCCCTGACTGTTGACCGCCATGACGCTCCACAGGGCACGCAGGGCCCAAGGAAAAGCTTGCTGCAAAGCCTTGCTAGGTAACGCGCTATCCGCCGAGCGGGAGCTGCCACGTGGCACGCCGAGCAGCCTCGGAAGAGAAGCGCGCCTGCGCCTCCGTGCAGGCACAGCCGAGGACGCCCTGGGGGCCTCGCGAGCCGGAAGTGCCCTTGCATGTCCTTTCCGGGCCTTTTCAGCGGGCCCTGGCTGCGGCGGCGCAACTTCCTCTCAAGGATTGTTGACTGCAGTTCCTGTGCGGGCCCGCCGCGGGCGGCACACGCCGAAGTCTAGGGAAGATGGTGGGTCGGAGCAGCGCAATCGCCGCCGGCGTGTGCGGGGCCCTCTTCATCGGGTACTGCATCTACTTCGACCGCAAGAGGCGAAGTGATCCCAACTTCAAGAACAGGCTGCGTGAACGTGAGTGGTTTTGCACCCCACCTAGGTAGTTACTTGCGTGCAGCTGGAGAAGACATGGCGCCGCGGCGCCGCTCGGGGGTCCTCGACCTGCCCGCCGGTTCCCTCCATTTTAAGGAAGGGCCGGCCCCATCTTTGTTTCCTTCGCCGACTGTAGAAATTCTTACTTCTATTACTTACGATGTGTGTGTATGTGTGTGGAGGGTTCAGTCTGAGGCATTGAGCCCAGAGCCTACCCACTGTCCCCACCCACACCCTTTTTTATTTTGAATTTTTAGACAGGGTCTCACCAAATTGCCCGCTCTGGGCTCGAATTTGGGATCCTTCTTCCTTAGGCTCTCAAAATGCTGCAGTTACAGACAGACTTGCACCACCACGCTTGACTAAGGAGTCTCTTTGTGAGAGTCTCTTTTTAAAGCTATTCCTAATCCGGAAGTCATGGCTGTGTGTAATGTTAGCCTGAGCCTAAATCCGCAAATCCAGGTCCATATTGAGACAGCATTCTTTTTTTTTGGAACCGGGCATCGAACTCAGGTCCTTGCGCTTGCGAGGCAGGCGGCACCCCTACTGAGCTAATCCCTGGCCCGAGACAGCATTCTTAAACCCTCTTGGCAGCTTCGTTTTAAGTGCTTCCAAGATACGAGTGAATGCTAGAGAAATTGCGGGGGAGTCCAAAGGGCTGCGCTCGTCCTGTGGCTCAGACTTATTTCATACCTGCGACATCTTCTAAGAGCGGTTTACCGGAGGGAGATTCTGTCCCGAGAAATGATAGTGATCCACGTTGAATTTCTGGGTTATCTTAATTTGCAACAGCAAACAGAAAAGCAAATTTGTTACAACATATTTTTGTAATGGATGTAGGTTTGCTCAGCTATATTATTCAAGCCTGGAAAGTAGAAGTAGTGAAGATCCTGTTTCTGACTCCTTAGTTAAGCTATATTAAGTCGTCACAAGTGTTCCATAGCTGCATGTGGGCTCGCTAGTGAGGAACCGAGGGACAGCGCTGATGCATTTACAGTACAACTACTTCTAGCCCCTGTAATAGAAAGAATGATATTTTGGAATTAGACACTAACTAGCCTTCTAAGTCCAGTCCCTGATAAGCAACATGGTCTTGGATTTTCTGATTCCTAAATTTGTTTGTTTATTTAAGGTACTGAGGATTAACCCAGGGCCTTTGAGCAGAGCTACAGCCGGAAACTTTTTTACGTTGTGAGATTTTGAGACAGACTTGCTTAGTGGCCCTAAGGCTGCACTCATCCTCCCGCAGCCTCCCATACTGCTGGGATTACACGTGCATGCCACGTGCTCCTTGTTTCTGCAAAGACAGTAAGATGTTTGAGTTGCCCACCATATTTCTTTCTGACATAAAGAACGTTCCACCGTAAAAGCTTGGTGTTCGAGTGTAACTATTGGAATACGAGTTTCCTATTCTGTAGTTTCAAAAATGGATGGTTGACTGTGTTGGGTGCAGATACAGAGCTCTGAGAGTGGATTAATGCTTGTGAAAACCGAGGAAGTGATTTTTGGCTGAAGAAATGATAAGAGCTACTATTTTAGATAAATTGAATGTTTTGTGTGTGCGGGTTTTTTTTTTTTTTTTTTTT